CCGGGAGGCCACTGACATCGCAGGGCATTGACGGCCTCCGCCCCCTGAGTCGGGTATCTTGAGATATAGCGGGGCAATTGGGCGTTGAGAGGAGAGGCAAATAGATCGATCACTGGTTGCCCAAACCTCCGCACTGCTTCCTGGAAGACAGACAGGTGTATGCGCCACTCTGACTGATCTATCATGGCCCTGCTGAGCCAGTCTGCTTGTGTGTTTAATGCCCCTGCTATGTGTTCTGCCTTGAGTGAAGACAGATTGGCCTCGGCCCATTTGAACAACTTGGTCGTCTCCAGAGTCAGAAGTTTGGAATGAGTACCCCCTGTCTGTTTACGTGGGCCTTGGTTGTGGTATTGTCTGTCAAGACCAGTGGTGTGAATGGAAAAGGGGTAGAAAACTGTGTAAGGCCAGGTGAACTGCTCGCAGTTCCAACAGGTTGGTGCTTTGTGATTGTTCGGAAATAGTCCAAATTCCTTGTGCAGTGTGGGATTGGAAGTGAGCTCCCCATCCTACCAGGCTGGCATCGGTTGTGATCATTGCCCTGTGAGGTTCCTTGAAAGGGCACCCCTTGTTTATCGTTTTTTCCGACCACCAACGGAGTGATCGGGGAACGTTGTACGGTACCGTTATCCGGATGTTGGAGGTGGCTCTTCCGGATCGCTGGAAAGGTAGCAGGAACCATTGCAGCTCTCTAGAATGGAATCGAGCCCAAGGCACAATGGAAATACAAAAAATCAGTTTCCCTAACAGTTGAGACAGCAATGCCAGGGAAACCCTCTTTAAGGCCCTGATCTCTTTGGCCAAAGACTGAATACTGTTTAACCTGTCCTGAGAGAGAAAGACCTTGCCCTCCACGGTATCTATCACTGCCCCCAAATGAACTAGCTTAGTTGAGGGGATCAAGTGGCTTTTATCCCAATTTATGGAAAAGCCATGACCCTGAAGGGTCTCCAGAGTAAACTTGGTATCCAATTTTGCTTGATGTCTGGAAGATGACAAAATTAAAATATTATCCAGATAACATTGTAAGCGAACAGATTTGATCCTGAGTGAGGCAGCCAATGCCGCGAGGACCTTGGTAAAAGTCCTAGGGGCCGAAGCCAGACCGAATGGCAGGGCGATATATTCATAGTGCCGATCACAATAGCAAAATCTAAGATATCTGTAGTGGGCAGGTCTGATTGGAATATGTAGATAAGCCTCTGTGAGATCTATAGAGGTCATGATATCGTTCTCTCTGATGCTAAGCAGAATGGACTGGAGAATAGTCATCTTGAATTTTCGATAAACCAATGATTTGTTCAAACGCTTGAGATCCAGAATTGCCCTCCAGCCCCCCAAACTCTTTGGGACCACGAACAATAGAGAGTAACAGCCTTGACCCCGCTGTTCAGATGGGACCTCTCTAATGGCCCGAATATGCAGAAGATGATTGATAGCCTCCTGCATCAACGCCCTCTTAATGGGGTCCATGGACCTAAGGCTCCTAATGAAAAAGTTCGGGGGGGAGGATTGAAACTCCAGCGCCAAGCCAAACCTAATAGTGTCCTTGACCCACACATCAGAGGTAGAGATGTCCCATTGATCAGCAAACAGTTTTAACCACCCTCCAATGGGAACTGCTGTCAAGGGCTCACTTGGGGTGACGAAAAAATTGGCCTCTAGTGCCTCTGGGGTTTCTACTATTTTAGCCTCCCCGCTGACCTCTATCGGAAGATTCAGGCCTATCCTGTCTAAAACTGGGCCTGTAGCCTGATGTTCTCTGAGATCTGGGAACATAGGGGCCCTGATAGTAGGACTGAAAGGAACCCCTTCGAAACGACTGGGGCGTTCTGTTTTCAGACCTACGAAAAAGAGGGGGAAGCACTTTTTTCTTGTTTCTATTTTCTATAAGGAGGGGCTCCAAGACACTGCCAAATAATTTATCCCCCGATATCGGGGCTGATGCCAACTTACATTTATGCTTGGTATCCGCCTGCCAATGCCTGAGCCATAGCAGTCTCTGTGCTGATACATGAGATGCTATGGCCCTAGACGAGAATTTGACTGTATTAAATGTGGCGTTGGCAGAGAACTCTGCGGCTGCCATAATTTTATCTATGTCCTGGTGAGCTCTGACATTTGACGCCGGCAATATATCCCTCAGGTGGGAGAGCCATCGGAGGGAGGAACATGTAAAAAAGGATGCAGCTGTAGCTGCCCTAATGGCCCAGGTGTCAGTAACGTGCACCCTACGGAGTGCTAACTCTGCTCTCTTGTCTTCCGGTCTCAGGGCTTCCTCGGCGTCATTAGGGAAAGTGGAAGAAGAGGCCAGTGCCACAATGGGTTCATCCACCTCGGGCATTTTGAGAAAATTTGCAAACTCTGGTGCCAAATTAAAATATCGCTTATCGTACCCTGTTGGGGCTGGGTATGATGCTGCTGATGCCCATTGATTTTGTACTAATTCAGCAAACATACGAGGGACAGGGATAGTTTCTGCCTGATTAGCCGGTTGCGAGAATATTAGGTCCTCGGATTCGTCCTGAGACTCTGTTGGCAATGGATGAGGGTCTGATGTGCCTAGTTTAGCGGTGTTCTTTGCCTTGAACAGTAAAGATTTAAAGAGGTGTTGGCAAAAAAGGCCAGAAAAAGTAGGTTGGTCTGGAATGAGGCCATCATCATCTGACATTCCCCGTTCTAGCGGGTCAGCCTCTGACAGCCACAAGTCCATCTGATGGATCGACCCCCCCTCCATGGAAACCTCCTGGTCCTCAAAGTCCACCTCCTCCTGAAGGCCCTGGGCTGGTATGTTAGGAATATTTGGAACACCTGAGATTGATGTTGTTGGGTATGCCCAAAGGAGCGGGCGGACGGGGATCCCGCATCCGAAGCGGTCGAGAAGTGTCTGGTCCGGATGGATTGCTGAACTCCAGCCGCAATGCCCCTTTGAATCGCCATCTCCATCCATTGTCTCATTTCGATGGGAATAGTCTCAGGTAATCCCTCCTCCTGTCTTAGGCCGGCGGCTGTAGGAGTGAAGGTTGCCTCAGGAATTGGCTGGCCAGTGCTCAATGGAGATGTGCCTATGGGGGGGTTGTCTAGAAACAGCCTGTCTGGGCTGGGTAGATAAGTCCAAGGGCCCCATCAATGGGTTTGGGTTCTGATCAGGTTGTTGTGTCATAGCCATCTTGTCTGCCTCCCTGGCTTGTTTTTGCAATTGTCTTTCCAATGCTAGGTGCCTTCTATGGGCATCCTTATCTGCTGCCTTAGAGGCCTTTTTGGGGCCCACAGGCTTGTCTTGGGACTTACTTGGCTTGGAGCGGAAAGCGTTGTCACGTTCCATTTTGTATGATAGATTGTCTTGCCTCTGAATGTAAATTTAATTTTTTAAATTTTTTTTAAAAATTTATTATGATTATTATTGATATTGTGGTAGAAATTTGAACTTTGGGGAGATGCCTTCCCCTGCAGTTGAAATTAGAACGCTCCTCCAGGAAGGTAAGACTGTATGTTTATAGGAATAAGAGTTTAAATGGTGAACAGTATCTAAGGGTCCCCAGCAAGGGAAACCCCCAAGTGCTCCAAGTGAGAGAAAAACTCCGGATCCCTGGTCCCCAGCAAGGGAAACCAGCTATTACAGGCTCTGATGTGAGTCCTTGCCTGTCAGAAACAAACGTCCCGCAATATAAATGTCACTCGCAATTTCCGTCTGAGTAAATGATTCAAAGGCAAATGCACAGAAATGCCTGTATAATGAGTAGCCGTTTAGTGCTGCGTTAGCCAGAAGGATAGCCAAATCCAGGAAGGGCACAATGGAAAGTTACTACCTCGGTCCCCAGCAAGGGAAACCAGCGAGGAATGGAGGCTATGGTAATTAGGCACGAAATTGAGGCAGCCGTTGAAAAGGGCGGGAAGCGGAATCACCGGTGTTAAGCCTGAGCCGTCTGACGAGCCGCTGCTACTGCTGCTCTAATTGCGATTTAAACGCTGCTGTCAGAAAACAGCAAAGCCAGGAAAGCCACGGCTGCGAGTGTTCCGTTCTAATCGCAGAGCAGACGATCGGAAGGGTAGATAAGGCTGTTTCCTAAGGCGATAGCCTCAAGCTGCCTGCGGAGTGGCAGACTCCGTTAATTTACGAGGGAAACTGATCGGAAGGGTAGATAAGGCTGTTTCTTGAGGCAATAGCCTCAAGCTGCCTGCGGAGTGGCAGGCTCTGCTAATTTACGAGGGAAACTGTTTTAGAATTATTGCTTTTTGAATAAATCGAGGGGAAAGCCTGAAAAACCGAATTAAATGGTGAAGGGTTTTAAAGATCAAACCTGAATTTGAGAAAAGCCGTTCCAGTCAGGGAGTGCACAACCTCTTACCATGAAGGCTGAGCTAAAAACTAGGGGACGCTGAGGAGGAGTCCCGTGGAGGAGCGTCCCGGAGTTTTAAGCCCAGCCTTTCCAGAAGAGACTGAAGCACCTCACTTCTAGATGCTCTGAACAGCTCATGGGAGAATGGTTGAATTTCTTGCTTTCTAGCTAGTCTCTAGATCTTCGGCTCTGTACAGCCGAACCTCCCTTAGGACTGAAGGTTTGCTTGCAAGCAAATTCAGTGCAGACTCACAACAAGCAAATTTGAGAGACTGAGCTAGCCGATGGCAGATAGATAGATCACTGAATGATTCTGTGAGCAACTCAATCTGCCTGCTTTGCCTGATTTTGTGTAAAAATTGCTCTTTTTTATAAAAAAAAACAATATTTATATAAATATTTATAATATTTACATACAAGCCATGCCCAGCCAGTTACATGACCACCCAGCCACACCCACAAATTAAGCTACACCCATAGAACTGGTTAGTGGTCCCTGGGATCTAAAATTATGAGCTTGGTGGTCCCTGAGGTCCAAAAAGTTGGCGACCCCTGTCTTAGATAAACAATTTCTTTTCATTTTTGTTCGATTTCCATATTTCTTTATTTCCTGGTTCCGTTTCTTTTTACTTCTTTTTCCTTTCATTTTTTCCCCTCCTTTTCTTACTCCGATTTTTATCCCCCTCCCTCTTTAAAGCTTCCTTCTGTAATTCCCTTTTCTGCTGTTTCCTTTTGCTTTGTTTGGTTTTCAAAGTATTCCTTTTTAATTGCCTCCTCAAATCTCCAGTTTTTAATTCCCATTCTTCTCTCCCTTTGCTTTAATATCCGTTGCTCCAATTGTTCATTAAAGATGGCCTCTTCTTTAATCAACTCCTCCTCTTTTGGCACTCCTTGTTGTTCTTCATGCTCTAAAATTGCCTTTTCTAAAAACTGTAAGGCAAAACCAAACAACTTGCCTTTTTCTTGTAGTATTTCCTGCACATTTCTTAGTTCCATTTTAATTCCAAAAAAAGTTCTGCCATTTTTAAACACTTCTGCTATGTATATTTATATATCTTTCTTTACTCTTTATGTCCACAATTATCCAGTAATTTGAATCAGCCAATGTCTATAAAATTTATTTCCAACGATCAGCTTTTCTTAATTCCTCTTCAGGTTTTCCCGGATTCAACAAATAATCTAATGTCCATGAATTGAAGTTTATGCCAAAAACACCAAACAATCCCGTTAATTTCTTCCTGCTTCTTTCTTTGTTTTAATATTCAGTATTCCACTTTCATTTTCCAGGGTCTCTATTTTGTTGTTAACAAGGTCTTACTTACTTTGTATCAAAATAAGCTTTTGTAGGAGACAGGTTATAGAAATTCTTAATTTCTTTTACCACTAGATGGCACTCTCTATTATATCCAAATTCCATCCTTTTTCCCTTTCTCTTTTTCTCTCTATTTAGAGCTTTAGAAATTCAAAGTTCCAATAAGTCCAAATATACAAATACTATTTTTTATTTTTTTCTTTGACACATTCAAGTTCAGCTTTAGTTATGCCTATTTGATGCCAAGATCATATATTTATCCAATTTAAACAAATATCTGCTTCTGGCTTCTTCCTTTCAGGTTTCAAAGTCACTGTCAGCTGTCAAACGTTTTTTCTTCACTTTCTCTGGCTGCCACTTTAATTGTCTCTCATAAATTCCTTAAAATTTTAATTCTGGGGTATCTTATATTTAAATGTTGCACCTGTTTAGCTCGGTTTTCAAGCTGTCCTCTTCTTCACTGCTCCTGCACAATCTTATCCAGGTTAGTTCTTCCGCTTCAGGGTGGCCATATTAACCACCACTACAGCCGTCTTCGGAGGGGAATAAAATGTCTAGCCAGGGAATGGAAATGCAGCTCCTCTCTATCCAGCTCACGGTCTCTCCCCTCTTCACCACCCCTACAGGATGGTTCTGGCCCCAAATGCAGGTGATCGGGGCCCTCTGACGGGAGAGCACAGATCGAAGCCACGGACGATCACGGTCTCCGATCTGTCAATGAGGAAGATGTCACCGGAAGACCAGAAGCCTTTCTTAAATTACTTATTTAAATCAAGGATGATCTTTCATCTTTCTTATCTAACTAGTAAATTTGACAAAATATATTTATGATAGCAATTCATAGCATCACAAAATAGATTATATTCTAAATTGCAAATACAGTAGCTTTAATCTCCAAATGATACATAATATTCACAATCACTATCAAGCTGTGGATATAAGGCAATATTAGGGTTAAACACTTCATTGTTCCTGTGTCCTATCAATCATCCCTTCTCTTTTGCTTCATCCACCGCTACCATCACCACAGAACCACAGAACAATTCTATGTAGTCTAGAATTTTGTTAGAAAAACCAAATCTCAAATCTCAAAATTATCAATTATCAAGAAAAGTAGAATAGTTTTCAAATGCTATTTTGATTAGAGAAACGTAATACTATCTTTCTTTCTCTTTCTCTCTCTCTCTCTCTCATCTATTTGGGCTATGAATAGATTCTTTTTCATCCGTGCTTTGCATTGCAATTTTTTAAAATATAGTATTCAGCATACAAGGCTGCTCTTCCAATTTACTGAATTGACTGAAACAGAGGAAGTACAAAACAACAACTTTACTGTTGATTTACTTACCACATTGGTTCGGGGAGCTGGAGTTGGAGTAGAGGATGCAGAGGGCTTGTTTCCCCCAGAGGGAACAGTTTGATATGCAGGCACAGAAGGAAAAGAAGGAGCACTGGGTTCTCTGGCAATAGTCTGCTGCAAATCTCTTAAAAGAAACACATTAATAAAAATGAAAGGTGAACATGGAGAATTAGAACTTTAGCTTACTGTAGATCACTCGGGATATATTTTATATTGAGATCTTGGTTTCAGTGTCCGAGAGGGAAAACTACAAATTAATATTCACTCCAAGTCAAGTCCTAATTAAATTCACCTTCACCTAGCCAGAGCCTGACATAATTAGATTTAGGGTCTCACAGAAAAGTGTTTTTCTTGGATGAAAAGGTATTTAAGAAATACAAAAATAGAACTTTTTAAAGGAATCTTAATAATTCTATAAAAAAAATATTAAAGCAATACTCCAGATTTAAAATATTAGGTCTTGTTTCAAGCACTGCTTTTGCACCTACAAAAGATTTTCAGTTTATGCTCCCCAACTCTCAAGATGGAATATAGTCTGTTTATAAGCATAAATAGCAGGCACAGTAGAGGGAATGCAGAAAATGAGAACTAGGCTTCTCAATCTATATTCATAAAATCTGATGGCTAACAGTATATATTTTAGTAACCGCAGTATATGATAAATATAAGCGAACTAGTAAGTCACAAAATATGGAGGAAATTCAGTTAAAAAATAATGTAATGGTAACATTAATGTGTAACTATTTGAAGACCAGTGATGGGAAAGTTGTGACCCTCCAACTGTTTGAGGTTTATGAACAAGCAAACATATTCATTGTGTACAAATATCAATGACTAAACAGGGTCACAATTGTCCTCAAGATCTGTCAGACAAAAAAAAATACATATAATGTTCAATCAAATTGGATTAATTGCACATTAGTTGCTTTTATCTTAAGGGTAACCAAGCAAATATCTGAACTTAGAAAACATTCTATAATTCTATATATTACAAAACCATAAATAATGATTCTGTAACTAATCAACATCTTGATAATTGTAAAACAGAAGTATTTCCTATTATTTTCCAGCTCAGCCATTATTGACAAATCTATATTATGTGAAGGAACATTCAGTTTAAGCTGTTTTAAATACAAAGCTTTCTTTCCTTAAAAGCAGTAGCCAGAAGCAAGGTTTTTTTACAGTATTTGTAAAGGCTTACTTCAGAAGTTCATCTCTTTCTGTTTTGCGGGCAAACACAATGTCACTGCATTTGTTTTGGAATTTCAATAGGATTTCAGTCAATTCGTTGTAGAACTGGAAAGGAAAAAACAATGCATATATTCATACACCACACACACACAATTATTTAACTGAAATGTATTGAAGTATGTGTTATATAAAAGTTCTTCAAGATATTACCTCCTATCCTGCAGGGTATTTTAAATTTAGTCGGTCATGGTAGACAGAAAAAATCATGGTATGTAATCTTTGAAATACTACCCGAAGTAATACTGCTATCTTGGTTATTAAAAGCATTTCTCTACATCAGGAGTGTCAAACTTGATTTCATTGAGGGTTGCATCAGGGTTGTATTTGACCTCAGGAGGATGGGGGGGGGGTGGAATGGGGGGGGGGGCAGGGTGAGCATGGCCAGCTTGACATCACTCGTGTTGGGGCATCTGTGTGACCCAAGCGCTCTGTCAGGAAAAAAGGGCTCTCGAGCCCCATTTTCGGCTCTGATGGTCTCCTGCCCTCTGCCAGTGAAAATGGAGCTTGGGGGAGATGCACCTGGCCCCTCCAAGCTCTGTTTTTGTTGGCAGAGGGCAACAGGAAGCTGTCACAGTCAAAAGCAGAACCTGGGAGGGCAGCACGCTCCATTTTTTCTGGTGGAGGCACTGTGGACCGGTCCTTTGCTGATTCCGGGCAGCCCCATGGGCCAGATCTAAGCAACCTGCAGTCTTTGAGTTTGATATCCCTGCTCTATATCATTCATCATTCATCCATCAATATTATAATTTTAATAGATACTGAACATCATATCTTTTAAAACTATATTATATTCTCATTTACTGTAAAAAGCCCCAGTCATTACAATATGTATGTATGTATGTATGTATGTATGTATGTATGTATGTATGTATGTATGTATGTATGTATGTATGTACCGTGTTTCTCATATAATAAGGCCGGGTCTTTTTTTTTTTTTTGAGCCCCGAAAAAATGGCTAGGTCGTCTTTTCGGGGGTGACTTAATTCCCCCCCCTTGCATCTTCGGGCGGGCGGGCGGGCGGCGACAGCTTGGATGTTGACCTCGGCGTTGGTGGGGCACTTCGTACCGGGGTCAACGCAGGCAGCACCATATCCGGGTGTGCAACAAAAGTACTTCCTAACGGAAAGCCCCCCCATTTCACATGTTTTAATATAGGCCTTAATTTGGGGGAGGGGCTTAATTTCATTTCATGCCTATAAAACATGCTGGGACTTCCTATTGGGGGACGCTGTATTGTTGGAAACAGGGTATGTATGTATGTATGTATGTATGTATAATGCCAAGGACATGACATGCTAAAATTGCTGAAATGGGATTTCTATTTTCCAGAAAGAAACCTTACAAAAATCAATATTGGATGACAAGATGGTATATGGAATAACAAAAACGGGAAGGTACCATCAGACTATATATTCCATAAAAGTACAACCTTTTTTTAGAATTGGCCCCTAAGATTTGATATTCGCACAAATTGTCTATTCTCTTCTTATATCCTCTAACACAGGGGGCAAATTGAAGGCCCGCCTTCAGTATCCTAATATCCCGCTCCTGTATCCTGCCCTCGGAGTTCTTAAATCTGGTCCACAGGGCTGGCCTGGAAATAGCAAAGGACCGGCCTGCAGTGCCTCTGGCAGCCAAAACGGTAGAGGGGCATTTTGGCCAGCAGAGTGCTGCAGGAGAACTATAATGATTCAGCCCTCAAAGAAATCAAATCAAATCAAATCAACCTTTATTGTCAGAGTACAACATGTGAACAATGAGATTGGATCTCCCTTCATGCACCCCCCCCCCAACCAAACACAACTCACAGTGAAGACAAAAAAGAAAAATCTCTAACCCAGTGAGTCCTACTAACAAACAATTGTATTGCACCGTGTTAAATTATTGCACAACATACCGGCCCCACAAGTCTATCATACTATGTTGACATGAGGTTATTTTCCATTCAGGAGTCTGACAGCCCACGGGTAGAAACTGTTCTTCAGCAGGTTGGTGTGGCTGGGCTATGCTTCTATGTCTCCTACCTGATGGTAGGAGAGTGAAGAATCCAGTCTGACAACCCTGCCCTAGCAGGTAGATAGATTTTTTATTAATCTAAGTATTTTACTAATTTTGCTTAAATTTTCCTATTCTTCTTTTGTTCTATTTCGTTCTAATTTCTGTCTGATAAAAGTATGATGCTACAAAATATCCTTTAACATCTAGCAAAATCTGCAATTCAAAACTGGTATTCTTGGAATACATGATCCATATATTCATTCAAGCTTTTCCAAGTTCTTTGTTGAACTTACATTCTATTAAGTTTTTAAAAACCAGAAATAAAACGTATCTTTTGAGATGTTATTAGTCTTGTGGACTCTTCTGTTACCATACCTTTGTGCCTTCTTTCAAGTTGGCTGTAAGTTCCACAAAGTTGTCATTAGCTATAGCTAAATTCTTCAGAACTTCTTCCCTTAAATTGGATTCGTTATTTGACTGTTTCATCTTAGAAAATTCCTGATGAGAATTCTAAATGTGAAAAAGGACAAGATATAAGAAACCAAGTTTACGATATTTTATTCCCTCAACCTGGGACAAGATTCTTGTTGGAATAATAATTTAATATTACTGTCTCAGTAAAAAGCTACATTAGATTATGCCAGATTTTTGTTCTAAAACACTTTTAAATAATTACCTGAATGGTGTTAAGCAGCTCGTCCTGTTTCTTCAGGGTCTCCTGTACTTTATGAGTAAGACCACCATAAAGATTATCCAACTCCATGACAGAAATGGCTTCTTCATTTAAAGCACCATCCTGTGCGAGTGCTATTATGAATTTAGATGTCATGTCAAAGCTTACTGATTTAAGATCATTCTCGAGTTGTTCTCTCTGCTTTTTTACTTCATCCAGACTAGCTAGCAACGATTTTAAGATGTTAACTACCTAATAAAAGAAAATAAATTAGAAATAAAATTAGATGTAGTTTTTCATAGTAATACTTTTATTATATCAATATTGCTTAAGAATATGACAGCATACTGAACCTAAATACAATTTAAATTAAACCCCTGGAGTTCTTATCTGCATCTTAAATGAAACAAAGATTAAGACTATTGAATTTCAGAAACAGATTTATTCTGTATAAAAATAGATAATTTTATATGAAACATCTGTTGTGCCATCTCTTTCTATTTGGTTAAATAGAATTGTTTTACGTAATTTTTGGAAGTTGTTTAGGTGTTTTTTAGCAACAAGGGAAAATGTAAATGCATAAGCTGTCTAGAATACTTTTGTGAGTATGACGATACACAAGTAGTTGGTTAAATAAATAACTCCTCAAACATGAAAAGCCAACCTGTATATATCATTACCATGAAAATAATACCTAACTATAATCAGAAGCAATTACAGGATGAAAAGAACTTGAGTAAACAGAACCAGTGTGATATATTGTTAAAATTGACAGTTCTAAGTTCAAGTTCCCCCTGTAAGCCTCAAAAGCTTACTGGATGATGGCTTTGGGGCAGTCACTTTCTCTCATACTAGCATATCTCATGATTGTTTTTGTGGGGGCAGGGATGCTAGCATGCAACTCTGAGCCACTGAATAAAAAGCAAGATATAAACCTAATAAATAAAGAACATCTGCATTGGACAGTGTGTGTGTGTGTGTGTGTGTGTGTGCACGTGTGCGCGCATGCACACATGTGTGCATTCCTTTGGATCACTGTTGACTCCTGGTTATATATTACAAAATCATTGAGATGAACCTATAAAAGCAGTATTCCTAAACTGTGATTCTTATATTTAAAATTCATTTTAATAGATTAAACTATTGTAAATCAAACATTGATAATTATGAACCAATCAGAGTACCTAACTATTCATTGTGTGAGGTTAATAATATGTTAAATGTGTGCATGGTTTAGAAACAGAGAAAGGAGCAGCAAGTGGTGAGCCTCCAGAAAGTCTGCACGCTCACCACTTGCCTGCTCCTTTCTCTGTTTCTAAGCCATGCACATATTTAACAAAGGAAACAGATAAGAGGATCCAGACTATTGTCTTTTCTTCGGAGGAGCCAGTATATAGACATAATAAAAAAGACATCGTTTATGTTACATGGTCCTAGTATCATAAGGGGGGAAGGAAAGCATGGTATCCAGTTTGCAAAATGGAATTTCAAAGTGTTTCAAAGTAGAGTCATCCCATATTATCAGATGCTACAATTTGGCTGTTACTATATGATTTATATTGCTTTCTTTACTATTCCTACATAATATATAAGGTATATAGCCTATAGCCTTGCTTAAACCAGGATTCTTTTGCATTCTTCTGGCCAAGAATTAGTGTTGCATATGTCTCCAAATGCTTTGATTTCTTATCTAAATTGGTGTTTTCCCACAACAAATGTAATCATTAAAATTTTTCTTTCATACCTCACTCCCTTGTATTGTTTTTGCTGGATTTGCTGATGGAATGGCTGCATTAAGTTCTTGTTCTGATTTACATAACAATGAAATTGTATCTCGATGAGATTGGTACCGTTCCTTAACCTGTTTGTCAGCTTGTACTGCTTTATCCAGTACATTACGGAAATTGCTTCCTTCTACAAAAAAAGCCCAAAGAAAAATCTGCAGCTAAAATATGACATCTTACTAATTAGAAATATAGTGAATTGTTAAGCTCTTATCAACCACTCACAACCAAGAAAGCAATATTCTCACAAAGTCTCTTTAGTCAAATAAAAGGAAAAATGGCTGCAGCATCTTAGCAATTGAATTATTTTACTTTATCAACTTATATCTTAACATTTTTTTGATGTCTTTATATTTCTTTCTATTAGCCTCTTGACACAAATATATTCCTACAATTCACCTGCTAACAGAATACTTCTGTTCTGGTCCATTAGTCTGAAAATATCCATTCCTGGATTTTGGGAAACTGATTGTGTGAATTGGTTACCAATACTTTATTAAATTAGTAGTTCCATGAATTTGATTGGGCCAAGCTCAGTTGTAGTATATTCTTTTCAGTATTGGAAAACACTTTCACATATCTTTGTGGTTGATTTTAAAAGCTTTATTAAATTATGACCGATGTCATATAGCCTGGATGCCAAACTGTGCCTTCAACTAGCAATTGTTATAAAGACACAAAGTTTCTGTTCAGATGCTTGCTCAAAAATTAAAATTCTACAGTAGAAAAATTGAACTTCCTTCTATCGCTTGAACATGCACAAGAATGGTTATTTGAAACCCAAATTTATTTTGAGATATATAATCCAGTTTCTGGGGGCGGGAGAGGGGTGCTTCTATTTTCTAAACTGTATTTTTTTGGTCATGAAAACAAAACATTTGAGATAACATAATAGAACTTGGAACAAACAACTTCACCCTCATTTTTCATCTTAGGATCATAATCCATACCACTTGTCGCCCTGTTTATAGAAAAACTGGTCAATGGGATATTGTTTTTTAAATAAGCATTTTTAAATTCAAATCCCACAAGAAGTTATTATACCTTTAAAAATATGTGCTTGTTAAAATAAAACAAACATTTGAATAATATTGAGAAAAATTAGAAGTCCAACAAAAATTAGAAATCCAACCTAATGAAGGCAAAGATATTTAATCCATTTATTTTGAGTTGATGTTTTGCTATATTCAAGCCCTGTTTGCACTTGATTTATAAATACTTCCTGGAAATACTAGCATAAAAGTGGACAACATTTTAAATTTTTCTAAATTGTAATTAATCAACATTAAAATATTGTAATAATCATTTATTAAAGCAGGTCTTTATTGTCTGTCCTTACATTATGAATACTCAAGTATCAAAATAAATTAATATCTAGCTCTCTGAAATATATGCAAAAGCATTAGTACCATTATATAAACTAATAATTAATCAACATCTTGTACTGCTAATATCTATCATCTGTATGCTGACTCAATGTAATCAATTCAGATTGGAACTGAAACATATCATCTATTAAATCAAGCCTAATATAAGTTTGTTTCTATTCTCAGACTGTTTCTTTTACTGTGCTCTCTTACCTACCTGCTTCAATGTTGTAACAATATATTTGGGGATAAAAATTATCACAGAAAGAGATTCATGCCAATTTCTATTTAGTAAGCACCGAGTGCAAAGATCAAATACACAATAATATATTACCTGCCCTCAAAGACTTGTATAAATCATTTGATGATGTTCTTTGCCAACGTTCCTTGAATTTGTTTTTCAACTCATTGTCTGTTGCTTCTTCTTCATCCAATATCCTTAGTGACTTTCATTGTTTTTTTAAAAAAACAATTAAAATAATTTTAGTTCATATTTTAATGGACTACTGCCAGCATATTGGCTTAAATTATCTACCATTAATAGTTATGACTTAAGCTGGTGACTTAAAGAATTAACTTAAAACCTAAATAATGTATCTAAATTAGATTACCATACTTTGCAATTATATCAGCCAGTTGTTATTTGAACAAATCAGGGTTAGTACTTCTTAAACTGATTCCGTCTCCTACTATATAAATATTGTAATTCCCATCAGTTCAATTAGAAACATTTAACTCAACGAAATGTGAAAATTTACCCATTTTACCAAGAAAAAGGCACATGATTTCTTAAAATAGCGCAATTATTACTGCAAACATACCTCATCCAGAATCTCTCTATTTCTCTGCAACAATTCAGGAAGATCTTTCATCAACTGATCTATTGCTTCAACGCCTCCCTGTTCAATCACTGACTTAGACTTCTGTAGAATAGATTGAGGAATACTATCCCCAGAAACATCTTCAATAGCAGCAGGAAGATTAAGAGATGCTAGCACTCTAGACGAGATTACAATATTTCAGTTTACCATTTTTCAGTCACTTCACAACAAACATACAACTTAAACAAGTCAATATAGTACTTTATGTTGATTCTAATTTTTACATCACCATAACATTACTAGGCATTTTTACTGTTAAGAAAGACTTGTCTTGATTAGGAGTATAAGGAATTCAACTATATATGAAATTTCAATTGTATACCAATAAAAAAAAGCCATCGGGAGAGACATTTCTAAAAACTAGAGTTTTATTTTATATTTATTTAGCGTATGGCAAATACATGGACTTATAATAGTTCAAATGTTAATGTCCAGTCCACCGAGACATTCAAGGACAAGATGGTCTATGTTGAAAAAATCAGACATTGGACCAGTATAAGCTCTTGATGGACATTCGGACACAATGCGATGGGTATTTTGTCAAGGAGCACCACAGTCACACTGAGGGGTAGAAACAAGACAGCACTTAAACAATGAGTCCTGGCAGACACCGTGTTGGGTATGGATCCTGTTCAGAATCAACTAATGCAGGCAAGGAAGGTCAAAACCTGGCACCTTTTGTGTAGGGCCAACTACGTGACTGTCTATCTGGGAGTTCAGCAGCCAATTTGGCTTTCCATTGTGTGTTGATGTCAAAATTGTTGACAGCTGTTGAGCAAGTGCCAGAGAGGGCTTCCTGGATTTAAGCCTGCCAATTGATAGATGAGGAAGATCAACACAGGAAGAAGTGGGTTTCTCATAATTTTGCTGTACTCCTTCACTAAGGCTTCCTACCTCCATAGAGCTGATGGTACAATGTGGCTCAAGAGAGGGAGATAGTAAGTAGATTTTATGCAACCACTTATGATCCACATTGCATCATTTAGTTTAGCATCAATCTTGCTAGTGTGGCAGCTATTAAGCCAAACAAGGGTGTAGTATTCAGCTGTGGAGCAGACCAATCCCAGTGCTGATATTCTGAGAATAGAGGCTGAGGCTCCCCAACTTGATCCTCTTAGTTCCTGGAGTAAGTTGTTCCTGGTATTGATTTTAGCGGACATGTTCTCTATGTGTTACTTATAGGAGAGGTTTGTTATAGGAGTGTTTATTTTATAAATTGCTTTTCTTGTTTGAGTTTAAAGTGGCATAGAAAAGAAGGAGCAACTATCTGGAGAGAGGGCCAAATGCAGTGGTGGGCTCCTGCCAGTTTGCACTAGTTCTCTGGAACTGTATGTTCATTTTCTGAGCAGTTTGGAGAACCAGTTGTTGGAAGAAATCTTTTCCCACTTTACAGGGCTAATCCTGCAAGGAACACAGGAAGGAAAGATTCTAGTGTGCCTGTATTTCTAGCCTAATTCTTATCTTAATTGCTGCCCCTGCTGCTTTAAGTGTTTTCAGAAACTGCCTCTGTGTTAAGCTTTGTTACATTGTAACAGCCTTAATGGTTCTTGGCAGAATGCCCAGACTTTCTGTCTGTAGCTGACCTTCTCCTGAGTCATCTTCCCACTCCCCCCCACCAGAGTTTTTTTTGTGGTACTTTTATTATTGGGGCTTGAACAGCTATTTACAGAAAGATTGGCATAGCCATAGAAGAAATGGCTGAGAGGCAGGATGCAAGCTTGGCATTCTGACTGATTTTTTTACTGGCTTTCTGAAGGCATGTGATTTTTCCTTAAATCTGGATTATTACCTTAGGATATCTTGTGAGGTGAGTGAGACCAGCTGGTATCTTTAAGTGGTGCAATAGATTTAATGATTGTTCCTGTGTGTTTTGTCAGTTCACTGAGCACTATGGGGATTCTTCAGTCATCTAGGTCATGATTGTCCCAAAGGTGCTCTTTTCATCAGGGAACTGGACTTCCTTGGTTTCCAGAAAGTCCAGTTGCCTCTTGAAAAAGCACCTTTGGGACAGGAGTCTCTTGCATTGCTTCAGAGTGGCCACAGAACAAGATTGCTCACTGATGATAAGTGGATCCTTCTTCCAATTTGTTATAGTTTGCTCTCATGATAATATGACATAGTATCATGGCATGAATTGTAGAAAGTTAGCACCCACCCCTCTCCTAGAAGAATGTCAGCACTTAAAAGATAAAGAGATACATAGCTATATTCATAGGCAAAAATTCCCTGCAGCAAGGTCTGAAAAAAGACAGAATAGGATTAGCCCTCACTCAAGATGTTAATTTGTCTCTTTAGGTCAGTATTTTGTAGCCCAAATATGTCCATCCACTTTCTGGAGAGCTTAAATTCCTCAATGTGCTCTGGCAACCTGCCTGATTTGTAACTCTGGGTTGCAGATATTGCTGAGGAAAAGGAAGGTATTCAGACAGAATAGCTTTCCATGACAGCTGTGACTCATTGATCTTCAGTGTGTATTCCCCCATTTCTAATCTAATGATTGGTATTTAGGGCAACTTTTTGCAAGCAAAGAAGCTTTTTGTATTTTTCTACAGGTAATTCTTGACTTACAACAATTCATTTAGTAACCATTCAAAGTTACAATAGCTGTGAAAAAAAAGTGATTTATGACTGTTTTTCACACTTATGACCATTGCAGCATCCCCATGGTCACAAGAGGCTGGGAGAGGTTAAGTGCCCCTCGACAGGAGTGACATCAAGTTGGCCATGCCCATTCAGTCACATGACCATCCAGCCATGCCCACCTAGCCAGTCATTAGGGCAGAGAACTGGTTGTTAACAAATTTGAAACCACCACTGGTCCAATGGCCACCAGTCTTATTCCCAATCCAATGCCTGAAATCAAAGTTGTCCTTAATACAGTGTATCAATATTTATTAACTTCAGTATGTCTGTACCACCAAATAATGTTCTATTAATGCAAAATTTCTCTAGAACCTAGCCAGACATCAAAATAATCATCTCACCCATTTGCCAAATTGGTGGCCTCTCTCATCTGCCCTATTGATCTATTAACCAAGTCTGCCTTTCTTTGGTTGTAGACAGCAAGAGCTTGCTGAATTGCCATGGGAACCATCTTCTCAAACAAATCTATAAAGCAAAACAACTACAATTAATAAAATAGATTCATATTCTAGCCTTCACAATTATTTACCTGAAATTACTAGACTGTATGCTCCCCATTATCTTTATTTTTCCAAAACAAAATCACAAGAACCAACATGTGAACTTGTTAGTAGTTTCTCTTATACCCAAAAACATGAATAAAGAAGTCTGCTCTAGTGAACCACCTCAAGATACTCCCACCTACAATTCTGATATAATTTAAAGATGATGTAATTTTATTTTTACCCTATTAAACATTTGAACTATGGGATTATAGAGTAAAGCCAATGTTTTTTTAATGTGCATTTCTTGAAACCTAAAGTACTTTTAACGTGAAAGCAATGTCACCAAAGTAATCTACATATTGCAAGCTAGACGTGCAACAATGATCTTATCACCAAGAATGCAAACCTTACATACCTGTTTTCAGAAGGCTTGGAGCCTGTTTGATAATATTTCACATTGAGTTTTTTAAACAAAAGGATTACTAAAACTTTGCAGGACAAAGATTATAGATTTCATTTGTATAGTGTAACTCTTTGAAGCAGATTTAACATATATACTTAAAATCAAATTGGTATTCATTAAGAACATACCAAATGCTTCAAACACTTGTACAGATATCCTGTTTCCCTGAAAACAAGACCTATCCCAAAAATAAGCCCTAGTGTGTTTTTGCAAGTGTTCTTAACATAAGCCCTACCCCCCAAAATAAACCCTACTTAAGAGCCTGCAGTTGGTCGCCCATTCTGTCTGGTTGCTCGCAGTGCCACAGCCACGAGATGAAGCAGAGTGGTGGTGGAGCTACTCCATGCACCCTGCACCATCTTACCTCAGGGATCCTGTATCAAGGCCATCCATGCCCCGACAACTGCTTCATGGCTGTAGCACCAGCAGCTATGTGCAGCAGGAGCACACTTGGCTGCTGCCTGACTTTTTCTGCTTGCTCGTGGCCGCAACAGAGCAGGAAGCTGAGCAATGTGCTGGTGCTGCGGCTGTGAGGTGAAGCAGGTGTCAGGGTGTTGATGGCCTAGCTTTGGGGGGCCTGAGGTAAGCTGGTGCGGGGTACATTGGGCAGCTCCCGGCTTGTGGTGGCACTAGCACATCGAGCAGCCTCCTGCCCCGCTGCGAACAGGCAGAAGTGGGCCTGCCATACATGAAGAAGAAATAAGATACCCTCCAAAAATAAGGCCTAGTGCTTATTTTGGGGCCCAAAAGAAAATAAGACCCAGTCTTATTTTCAAGGAAATATGAGTAGTTAAAATTTTTTAATGACATCAAATAATATACTGGTGAACTGATATGGACAATGAAACCAGCACTCATTGAAAAATACATGCAAAAGTAAAGCTAATCCCATTCCCACTGGGTTGACATTTAAAATAAAGACAATACAAACAACTTTAAATTTCAAAATCAGAATGAGATTGCTGAAATCATGTGCAATCATATTAGAATGCAGTGATAATCACACTTACCTGTAAATTTCTGACTCAGAGGGATAGTCATGGGAGTTGCTTTCACAAGACTGACTTTTCCTATTGGCTCAAGATCTTTAAGATCAGGAACTCTATCGTGATAGATGAAGTCATTATCCTTCTTTGCAGCAGTAAGTGCACGGTTGATTTTGTCAGACAAGTCTTTAACATTTATATATTCATCATAACGAGATGTCACTGTTTTTACAAGATCAGCAGCATGCTAATTTAAAAACAAAATAATCCGAAATTAACAGTTTTGTAATAACTGAATGCAATATTTCTGCATATAGGACCCAGAAAAAGGGCCTTCTCCGTGGAGGCTCCCTCTCTAGAACATCATTCCCCCAGAGATTAGAACATCTAATACTCTTCCAAAAGGCGCTGAAGACCTGGCTCTGCCAGCAGGCCTGGAGAACCCAGAATGGGATGGGGCCGTTTAAATGGCTCGTATGATCTGCTGTCGCCAGGGTGGGGGATGATTTTGTTATATTGCACTATATTAATTTATTTGATTCTTTTTGTTAGTTTTTATTGTTTAAATGAGATTTATATATATATAAAGATTATATATAAACACACATACACATACACTAGTTGTTAAATTACAAAGTTGGTATGCATAACGAGTAGTGGCTTTGTACATGAATTGACATTTAGATTTTACTCAGAATTTCCTAGTATATGTTTTATTTTGTTGGATTTTGTTTTGGTTTTCCAAATGCCAGCTATGGTAAATGGACAAGTACTAAAGAGTTTTTACATATAAGCTTCAAAGCTTTACAACAACAAATTATTTTTATTGTTTAATAATCTATTATTACATGGACATCATATATATTTCACATTGGCAGTAAAATATTCTAACAGAGATTTACCAATTTTAAATGTTCAATTTAAAACTTACCCACTGAATTTAACAGATGGGTAAATTATGCTGCTACGGCTATACTTCTGTGCCAAACGCCCATAAAACAGAAACAGCAGCTCAAAATTTAGCTTTTTAATATAGGAGAGCATTTTTATCTATTATAACAAGATAAAAATATTAGCTTTTGTAAAATATAAATGATAGATACATGGCAAACCCATGGCAGTAAATCATAATGTTCAATCTAAACATAGATTCAGTATAGTCCAACAACCATCAAAATTGTTGAGACTAAAACTCTGATCTAGAGTGTTGAGGTAATTCCCCATTAGGAGAATGAGCCCATACAGGGAGATGTAGTGAGAGTAGTGTTGAATAATACACACACAGCACACAGATACATTGTACAGTAAATGTAGGTTTTTACTTCTCATAAACATTTAAGCACAGTTCAAGATAAGCAGTCCAAGTCATTCACAGGTAAAGCAGTCAGTGTTCAGTTCAGCGATAATCCAAATATCAAAGTCCAGTATCAAAAAACAGTTCAGTAACAGACTTACATCAAATCCAAGAATAACAGTCAATAGGGAAAAATGGAGGAACGGCAACTCTCTCCAACAGAAGAAACAGATGCTCACATACTCCACTGAGACTAAACAACCCAGGTTTCTGGCTCCATCTTATGGCCGTTTGAGAAACCACACCCAATTACAGTTTTAGCATTTTCTTAAAGACATAGTATTAAAATATCTATCCTAGTTTATATATTTCCAAGTCAAATAACTGTTAGGAGACTTACATTCCTAACATAGTGCCTGATGGTTCCCAAGTCTACTTACTCCAATTTACCAAGTTATCAGAAGACCTGATTAAGGTACAGATCAAGGCCTGCCTTTTACCAATTACATAGGGTCTTAAAACCTAGTTTTGGTCTTAAGCCTGGGGGTTATTTTATTTAGAGAGGAGTTATTTTGTTTAGAAAGCGGCACTGTGCAGCTGCACTATGTGTTTAATGGATGTTTTTAGGCCACACTATTTTTTGTTTTTCATTGTGTTAACTTAGTATCAGAAACCAAACAGCCTAAGAAACTTGTTAGAAAGGAGGGGGTGGAAGCTCCCCTGTACCTGATCGTGCCTCCCTGACACGAACAGGCAGTGTTTGTTGCTGCAACTTCTGCCCAGGTTTGGTTGGAAAGGAAGAGCGGGGGGTGGGGGGACAGTAAGAAAGCTGGCTTCATACAAAGGAGTTTTTGTTTCAGGTGGGTATCCTAGCCTTAGAAAGAGAGAGGGAAGGGGGAAGGAGAGGGAGAGAGAGGGAGGGAGGGAGGGAGAGGGAGGGAGAGAGAGAGAGAAGACAAGAACAGAACAGAAAAAGAATGGAAAGAAAGAAAGAAAAGAAAGAAGGAAGGGGAAGTGAATGATGGATGGAGGGTTGGTGGGAGAGGGAGAGAAAAAGGAGAGAAAGTAAGGACCACAAACCCTGGCACTAGAGGCAGCTTCAGAGGACACTTTGAAACAGCACAGCAATCCAGGGCTGGAAGGGACTTCGGAGATCATCTAGGCCAACCCCGTGCTCCAGCAGGAGACCTTATATAAATGTTTGTCTATTCAGGAAATCAAAGCCAGAGCAATGTAAATGCCCCAGGCAAAAAAAAAAAAAAGGTGCTACGAAGGATTTTTTTTTTTCAAACAGCCTCCCTCACTGCATGTAGCTAAGTCTTCCTTAGGAACCTCAATTTGCATATCTTGATATCAAGACATACAGACGAAATGGGAACTTTGAGGGTGGGGAGATAAAACAGTCCCCCTTTTCAGATGAAGAAAATGATTAAATAAACTAATGTTCTGCTCTCTCCCCATCTCACACCTGATCCTGCAGTTGGGCTGCTGCTCCCCACATCGGACAATCTTAGGTACAGACATATGACATCGGTCAAGGCTGGCCATGACAGTCGTAAATCAAGGATTGCCGCAAATTGGAAAACAGTACAGGTAGTCCTCAACTTACAACAGTTTGTATAGTGACCAAAGTTACAATGCTACTGATGACCATTTTTCACATTTATGACCATTGCAGTATCCCAATAGTCACATGATTTACAGTTGGATGTGTATCAACTGACTTGCATTTATGATGGTCGCAGTGTCCTTGGGTCACGTGATCTCCCTTTTGCAACCATCTGACAAGCAAAGTCACTGGGGGAGCCAGCTTCACTTAAACATTATCTGACTGACTTAAACACCACTTAACAGTGGTGGCAAGAAAGCTCGTAAAATGGATCCAAGCTCACTGAACATTTGTCTCTCTTAGTAACGGAGATTCAGGGAAGCCAGATTCACTTAGCGACTGTGCAATTGACTTAGCAACCAAATTTTTGGGCTCAATTGTGGTCATAAATCGAAGACTATCTCTGCCTGCCTCTGCATCGCAGCGTTGTCCTAGAGGCCCCAAAATAACACAGATGATATAAAGTCTCCTGCTGGAATGCAGAGAGTTGGCCTAGATGACCTCCGAGGTCCCATCCAGCCCTAGAATGCTGTGCTGTTTCAAAGTGTCATCTGAAGCTGCGTCTAGTGCCAGGGTTTGTAGTTCTTCCTTCCTTTTTCTCTCCCTTTCTCCCACCATTCCTCCATATCTCATTCCCTTTTTTTCTTCTTTCTTTCTTCCTTTCTTTCTTTTCTTTCTTTCTCTTTCCTTTTCTTTCTTGTCTCCCTTCTCCCTCTACTTCTTTCTCTCTCTTTCTCTTCCCTCTCTCCTTCTAGGGCTAGGATACCCACCCGAAACAAAAACTCCTTTAGATGAAGCCAGCTTACTTACCGCTCCCCCACCCCCGCTTTTCCCTTCCCTACAGTCGCAACAACAAACACTGCCTGTTCAATGTCAGGGAGGCACGATCAGGTACAGGGCAGCTTCCACCCCCTCCCTTCTTTCTCCTAACAAGTGGCTGAGGCCATTTGGCTGCAGCACTTCCCCCAAAGCCCCCCAGACCCTGCGATGGATCACACCGTGGCTTCTGGCTGCCAGTATTGGCTGGCAGCTAACTGTCCCATGCGGCCAAAAGCCTGGGACAAAAGCTGTTTTGTTGAATGGGTTGCGTGGGACGAAGGAGCCACAGCCCATTCGTCAGGGCAAACAGCTAGGGGATGGCCAGCTGAGGAGAAAAGCTAGAGGTTAATGTGCAGAGATGGGATCCTGGCGGCAAAGCAGGCGCAGCCAAAGGTAGAAGCCTAAAAGTCCTAGACCCATTAAGATTTTTCTTAGTGCAATTATAGTTGAAGACTGTATTATTTCTTTCTTATGAAAAATGTTACTCACTTGCAATCTTGCAATTTCTTCACCAAATTTCTTCTGTTGCTTTGCCAGTACAGATTGATGGTACTCTGTATGGGCTTGCATTATGCAGTGTTTTGCAGCCAGAAGAGGGAACACCTCCTGGAAATAAAAATACTGACCAAGGGAAAAGTCCAACCACATAAACCATCACAGACAACATGGGATGCAGGAAGAAAAGGAAGAAGAACATGGCATTAGACACACCCGATTAATGTTTTAGATAAGGCCTGGGAGATGAAAGATACCAACATGCAGGGATTATGTTAAGTGGAATTATGAATATTAATCTGAACAATAAAATTTAGGAAATGTTAATTTGATTTAGAATTTTCCTAAATCATCCCTTTCATCATTCAGGTTAGCTTAGGAATTTAGGAATTCAAATATGCATTAGGAACTAGGACAAGGACACTGTAATTTACATATTACATTTATCAACTCAAGTTACACAAATTATCTAGACCTTAAATGATAAAAAACTAGTTTATGTAAAACTAGTTTATGTAAATCACCCACTTAATATTCTTGAAAAAAAATTAAGAATTCAGTCCAAAGAGAAATAGAGTCACTAAATAAGCTTAAGCACCTAACTACATATTAAAGGGTAATATGATGCTTATGGTAAAAATATATAGGAAAATTGTTAATTCGCATAGATCAAGAAGAGATTATGTAGAAGTGCCATATAATATAATCTCAACAAAGTTCTGAATTTTTTAAATTACTTTACTTGCAACAACTATCTAAAATGTTATGTTTCTGTTTGCTATTTTATTGAAAATACCTGTCCTTCAAGAACATGAAAGTGAAGTACTTATCATCAGAATATCTTTGTCTTTATTCATATACTATTGCAAAAGATATCACTAGAGGGAAGATATATAAATATAACAAAACTGCCAGCCAATGGTGAGGAAAAAATAGGAGGAACGAGTGGGGTTGAGTGTATTTACCACTTTAGTCCATTTGCAAATAATTTTTTTTCTTTAAACATGCACATCCATTTCAAACTTAAATTTCTATTGGTATCCTGAAGGTCAATTCTACAATCAATTTAACCCCTAACAGGCTAATTTATTTGTTTATATCCTGTCTTTATCATTTTTACAAATAACTCAATGTTGTGAACATATCCAATACAACTTCCTCTTCCAATTTCCTGACAACAACCCTGTAAGGTGGGTTGGACTGAAAGACAATAACAGGACAAGATTACCCAGCTGGCTTTTATAGCTAAGTTGGCACTTGAACTCATGGTCTCTTCTTTCTAGCCTGGTGCCTTTAGCCTGGTGCTATAATTCCTACACTTTGCATACTTTTTGTTACTTGAATTAGAAAGTCATGAATTAAGGTTTGGATGGCATTGTTACTTATGGTATGATAGTGATTTTAATAATCATTTTGTTAGACATGCCATATTAAGAGTTTGGAATAAATATAAAACAAGACTGTCTACGAAATTGCCTCTTTGAATGTCACCCCAGGAAGTTTTCTTTAGAAAAGAAATGGTGGCAAAGCCAGACTAGACTGGTTGATATATGGTCAAATTTTATCTTTCAATTCTGGTGACCCAATATTAAAGCCAAGGGAAGAACTTGAATCAGAAAGTTATGTTTGACTTTGGTTTATTTATCAACAACCTGAAAGAAATATTTAAACTGGATAAAAAGTGCTACGGATTTAACTTTGTTAAAAATGAATTGGAAACTTTACTATGTGGAAACGATGAACATTATTATCACTAAGATCTATAAAATGTTATTGAAATTTAATTTGGAAAATGAACATGTAAAGCATGATGTATAAAGGTATGTCAAATGAATGTTGGAAATGTAAAAGAAGGGACTTTTTATCATCTATGGTAGACATGTGATAAAGCAAAAAAAATTGGAGTATGATTCATATTTTAATATAGAAAATTTTGAAAATGAAGATAAAGATGAAACCAGAATTTTTCCTTTTTGGTCAAATGGAAAAAGACCTGGAGAAAAAAATTTGAACTTGGTTACTACTAGTATATATGATGACAGCAGCAAGATTATTGTATGCACAAAAATGGAAGGACACTTTGATTCCTACTATGGACAAATGGTTGCAGAAGTGGATGGAGTTGGCTAAACTGGTAAAATTAATTAAAGATAAGAATGTAAGTACTTTTGTTTCCACATGGAGATTGCTTCTGAACTTTGCGCTTGAAGTGGAAAAGAATGAAACTTTGATTTTGGGTTTTACTGATTAGACTGATAGATCCTTATAGAAATGGCTGGTTTATACTATTAGAAAAAACAAAAAGTTGTGATTTGATGTTAATGCCTTATTTTACTGCAACAGTCAGAGCTCAATGCTTCTTTTTCTTTTTCCTAATCCTTCCTCACTTCTCTTCTCCCTCTTCCTCCCCACTGCTTTCCTATTTACTTTCATATTTTGAATCTTATCTTATAACTCAATAAAAATGTTAAATTGGAAAACTTTACCTCCACCCCCAGTTTTTAATTAACAGTTTTATTTCACTGGAAAAAAAGACTGTGATTGGACCAAGGTTCCCAGTTGGCTTTTATAACTAAGATGGTACTTGAACTCATGGTACAAGTTTGATTGCTAAGAAATGTTACACTTTTCATACTTTTGCTGTAAAATAAGATAAGAAATGATTGTGAATCATTACTTAACATATAAAATAATAATAAAAATGTAATAAAAGCAAAATATATTTAAACTGCATAAATATGTCCACAGTTGATCAGCAGTGAAAAACCATATTGCTACATTTATTTCCTGCCTATCTCACCATAAGGCGACTCTATATTGCAATTTACTAACACTTTCCTCCCCACAATATATTAATAGTGGGGGGAGGGGGGAAGTATTAGTAAATTCCTGATAATATTTTCAACTTAACTTTAAAGCAATGCTGTTTATAAATATGTCCCAATAACAAGAAGATCTTCAAGTATACATGTTCTAAGTTCAAACTTGTGCTATTGTTTCTGATAGTCTCTCCTCTCAGAATCTATGCTATTGTGACATAAATGCATAAAACAACTTCTAAACCTCCTGATAATTAAGTTTTTAAAAAGTGTTGCCAAAGGAAGCACTCTGATAGCTCACTATAGGTTTTCCAAAATTAAATACAACAGTAAATTGTTTTAACCAAAGTATTATATTATGAAAGAGTACAAGAAGTATTATAGAAAGAAATTTTCTTCACTCCACTGCATCTTTTAAGCCCCAAATCAGCCCTGCTGTGTTTCTCAACATCCAAAATGATGATGGGATGTAGAAGAGGAATCAATCTCCTGGTCAATGTCCACACAGTATTCTTATCACTTAAAAAACCCGTAATTAATTATATCTCAAATTGAATGAGATATACAAAAATAGCATATATAAATAAGTATACAGTGAAATTTTTATATGTAAACACACATACAGACTCAAGCATTTAAGTAACTCAGAATGTGAATATACATTCTTTAGGAGCTCATTTGGCAGTCTGTTTTCTGCTGTGTTTCTAAAAGTAACAAAATCAAGCAGTGACATCCTCATATTAATTTGGGCCAATCCAATATTAGTTTCCTTGTTCACATTAAGAACAGACAAGTTTGAATTAATTAAGAAGTGTGCTAAGTTGAAACCACATTTACTAAAGAAAGAGGTAAACAATGTATCTAGAGAAGTAGACACAAACATCCCATGTTATATTTAATTACAATACCTACCATATTTTTCGGAGTATAAGATACCTCTGAAGCGTAAGACACATCTAGCTTTTGGAGAAGAAAACAAGAAAAAGAAATCTGCCTCTGCCTCTCAGCAATTTGCCTCCTTGCAGCAAACAGCCTGATTAGCTTCAGCACAGCCTGATTAGCACAAGCAGCTGATTGTCGGTTGGATCGGCCTCCTGATGATCAGCTGTTTCAGGCTGCAGGGATTGCCATCACATATTGCTGCCTCCACACATCCCATTTTCAGCCTCCGCGCATCCGGTTTTCAGCCTCCACATGCCCCATTTTTAGCCTGTTCCAGGTGGTAGGGATCGGAACGGGTGGAAAATGGGGCACCAAAGGCGGCAATAGGCAATCCCTGCAGCATGAAACAACTGATTGTCGGGAGGCCGATCCGACAATCAGCTGCTTGTGCTAATCAGGCTGTGCTGAAGCTGACCAGGCTGTTTGCTGCAAGGAGGTAAATTGCTGGGAGGCAGAGGTCGGCAGGTGGGGGCTGGCAGGTGTGCGGGGCTTTGGCAACATTTGCTGTGTAAGACGCACAGACATTTCCACCCACTTTTGGGGCTGGAAAAAGTGCATCTTATACTCCAAAGAATATAGTATATTTCTTATACAATATATTTTAGGTTAAATATAATAAGCTGGGAATGAGTTCATGTGCTTCCTAAGAGGTACTGCAAATTATGTATTGATTTCACATACTGTACCTCAAAATTAACTGAATCTCTCCATCCCATTCCACAAGCCAAATGTCAAGCAAGGATTATAAAATATTTGAAAATGTCACTGATAGCTTCAAGTCAGTAACTATCTCAACATGTATTACTTTTGTACTCCTTTTCTGATGTCTTCAGTATGAAATTACCAACCTTGGGTAAGGTATCCTTGTACTGGCACTGTTTGAATGCATCACCATAGTAATCAGCAGCTTGGTTTGCAAGTTTAGCTATGATTGCATCTTTCATTTTATCTAAATAAAAAAGAACATGTGTCAGTTTTGAAAAATTGAGGCAGTATTTTTACATGTGCAAAATCAGTGAAGTACATACTGTCACCAGAATTTAAAGTTCTCCATTTATTTTTGTAAATGAAACAGCAACAATATAGAACTTTATACAATATTATAAAATTGTATATTTTTGTTTTAAAAAATACTTAGATTTTAGTTGAAAACAACTTCCAGAAAATGCATAAAACTAAATTATTTCTTAAAAGCTTCCCTCAAACAGTAAACTATTGAATGAAGTTCAAAAGAACTTCCTTTCTATGAAGCAATGTTAATAGTAAAGTTCAAGATTTGCAAACTTTTAACTTTTGTGTTGTTATGAACCATACACTTTAAATTAATGCTTTCAAATAATACATGCAGTATTAGTATGAATTCTGAATTGCAGTATAGGATTTTCAAATTACATCATGTGATATATTCCTAAATATTCTATGCTAGATATTGCAGGCTCCATAAAAGTATTGTTTTTAAAATATACCAACCTTAATGTTGTTTTATATATTTATAGACAGAAATACAGAAAGTAACTTTATTCAAATGACTAACTCTAAAACATGTTACTGTTATATTGGTTTTGTCCTCAGATTTCACAAGATATATTCTAGCATTTCTACTTAAATACTTAATAACATTTTTTAAAAAGCTACCAATATCACAGCCAGTTTGGTCTAGTGGTTAAGACACAAGGCTAGAAAGTGCCTCAGCCACTCTGTCTCAGCTCAATTCACCTCACAAGGTTGTTGCTGTCTATCCAAAATGTACTGGATAGTTTCGCTGTGGCTTTTGTGACAATAGTAAAGGTAGGATACAAATAAACGTCTATTATATTTTTTTAAAAATGCATTTTAACAAAATCGGTTTTCATATTATTCATAAAATAAAGGAATCAATTATAAAAGCAAAATTTTAGATGTTACTGAATATGGAAGCAAGAATGTATCATCTAATAGCCATCCAGAAATGCATAGTACACTAATTTAATTATATGCAATAGATACGTATCAGTATTATGTGTATTAAAATCTTTAAAAATCATTTAAATTATTTCCATTTTAATGTTGATTCTTCTATTTTTAAACGTTTCTTTTAATATGTGTATTGACTATTGTATGTCAGTCAGTTACTTACAAATTAGATAAGCAACTATATGAATTTGATAACTACACTTGAAAACTTCAATTGCCAATTTGAGAAATTGTGTTGGCAGGTATTTTTATGTGGATAGGTACAATCTATCCATATGAAAATGTTCTATGGAAACAAAATATTTTTATAAAAGTAAAAACTATTTTATACAGATAACAATAAATCCTATACACTGGTCAAAGATGGTAATTGAATTTATTATGGTGGTAGAATGGCTGTTATGTCCAGCCTTAACTATAGTATGATTGTTGTTTGTTACCTTGGTTTTATATTTATTTTTCATTTAAATTTAATTCTTATTGTTATATACCAACTAAAGTAGTAAGAGACAGGTAGTCATTAAGTTCCTTAAATAAATGAATAATTACAAATTCCCTGAATCATCATATGATATTTTGGCTTCGACTTTTAAATTACATTAAATTTTCCAGCATTCAATATAAATTGAAAGTGCCTACTTAAAACTTTAAATTGAAGATATTTCCAATTTGAATAAATATACTAATACTCCCAATTATTTTAATCTCTGGTAAAAATAAGGTTACAAAATCTATATATTTCCACCTTATATCACATACCTCTGGTAGCTTTCAAAAAAAAAACTTCTTGACCTTGAGCCAGCATGATAAGACTTAGTGTGCCAACTGTATCTGGAGAAATATCAACTGTAGGCTCTCGATTCAATGAAGAGAGGACCGTATCTTTTATATGCTGGAAGGCACCACTAGCAAACTTGAGAAAATAATACATTTTATTATAGAAGCATGCTAAATACTATAGTGAAAAACACTACAAAAATAGACATTCCATTTAAGGCACTGTTCATATTGCATTTAATTTAATTGGATGCCTGAGAAATCTTAGGCTACTAGAACAAGTTTTTACTGTATTTCTGCATTCAAGGCTGTTGGAACTTTATTGATGTCAATTCAATTTAAAATAGCTGAGAAGAGGAAGTAGGTCTCAACCTTTTCAAACTGATGGTACATTTGGAATTTTGAGAACATATTGTTGATGCTCTTTTACATTACATTAGTAATGGCTACTAATGATTTGTCAACTCACAATTATCATTAGGATATAACTATTCATATAGCACATATTAGAATACAATATTGCAATTCTTTTATTATTTCTATTACCCATTTAGCATTACCTATTAACCCTTCTAGTCTAAATCCTGTTTCAGTGTAATGGGCACAATTCCAAATTGAGCATATAAACAAAAGCAGGTTTAATGATACCCCAGAGATTTTCAGAAATATAAATTAATTTGAAGATTGGTGCTTTCTTTTGTGACATGCCAACTTTAATATAAACAGTCAAGCAGGACAGGGATGCTGTTGAGTCCAAAGGAAATCATGGTCACCATTCTTCTCTTTGATAAAGAATATTCATCTTAGATCAGAACTAGGCATTTTATGGCCCCTGGGCCACATTGGCCATTTGGCTGTCACTGTCTGGCTGATGTGACAATAATAGGAAATTAGAAATAAAATGTAAATAAAGGTATAAGATGCACGTGATACAACTGCATTGTTTTTATTTTGAAGGCAACCTTTTTTTTCCAATTTATGTATGTAAATGCATGCATGCCCACCATCACAGCCTTATTGGTTCAGCCATGCACAATTGTCCCAGTTTCTCATGTGACCCCTTGGAAAAATTAATTGCCCATCCCTCTCTTAGGTTTCCTAGGTTTATGACACTGATTTTTTAAAGATACATTATGTATCTTTATTACTAATGTCTAAACAAAACAACTTCCAAATTCCAATAAATACTTAATCGTAGAGAAGAATTATACCTGATAATATTTTGCGGCAGCTTTCATCCCTTCATCACTATCAAGATTCTGTTCTGATGCTATTTGACTGGCCAATGCTCCACAATTAAATAACACACATGTTTTCTCATAGCCTAAACTTGCCAGAGCTGAAACAAAGTGCATACAAATCAACATTCTTATCTATAAACCAGACAGTAATGGAGCCTATAGTAATTAATAAAAGTAAAAACAGACAAGTATACATCAATGAATCTGCAGATCTATAGAATGCATCAAATAAGTTATACTCAATTCTTTTTTAAAAATAAAAATTAATATTAGTTGATTTCCAGGTGATCTAGTTACTAATAACTGACCTTAAAGCTTTTATGATTTGAGATGAAAATGTTTAAATAATTGTTATTGCAGTCATATCATTGTGCGATTTGTCTTTAAGGGTTCTGGGTAAACACAACTAGCTTGATTTCTTGAAAAATAATGAAGGTGGCTTCATTTTCAATGGAGCTGACAACCACAGCAAAATGGTGAGCCAGAAAATGGATTGGGTCCTCAGAATTCCAGATCAAGGATACTGTGGTATTGGCCACAAGCACGCTACATAATAGTTCCCCAAAAGGAGATCAAAATATAATGTCTCCAGCAGATTTTGGAGTTCTCCAAACCAAGTGAAAGTCGTCGCCGACAAAGTTGCAGTTCAGAGCAAGTATACTTGGATTTCTTAATCAGTTCTGGAAAGTTTTTGTTAATAGAATTTGAAATAGTAAAAAGTGTCAGAAAATGTCAGGTGTAACTGTCATTACACCAGGTGAGTTTCTTTTTATTCTTTGCAAAATAAATTTTATGCAAGCTTAGGGAGTTAAAAAATTCTTTAAAAAAAAACAAAACTTTATTCAATTTTCCAACAATTTAAAAAACCATAAAGTACAAAATTGTATCAATATTGAAGACATCATTTACATTTCTTAATCATATTCTTATACTTAATTTTCTATTACATTACAATTATTATATATTACTTTTTCTATTAATTCACTATTCCTTACTCCTTATTTATACCACTTGTTACACAGTACATTTTCTATTAATTCTACATTCAGTATCTATAACTTCATATCCTTTAATTCAGGGGTCACCAACTTTTTAGACCTCAGGGACCACCAAACTCATAATTTTAAATCCCGAGGACCACTAATATAAATATAAATATAAATATAAATATAAATATAAATATAAATATAAATATAAATAATATAAATATAAATATATATATATATATATTCTTAAGTTTTCGCGGGTACTTACATGTATGGCCTTCAGCTTTGTTCGGGTATTTTCCCACATCATTATAGTTGTGCTTTTAAAGTTGTAGCAACGTTTCAGCAGAATCTCATCTGCCATCATCAGGCTGATGATGGCAGAT